CTGATGCACTGTCACATATTGAAGTGTCCCTGCAGGACACTGAACCCCTCATTGCCTCCACTGTGTGTCCCATCCGTGTTCAAATATGATCTAAAGCACTGATTAGTCTCCACTGAGTGATAAACTCAGATTATCTTTGTCGAGATGTTGTAGAGTGCTGTATTAATGTGCGTGTGGAGGTAAATGAGGGAACAGATCGTGAGTATCCTGCTTGAATAGAAAGGTGCTGAATAAGTACCGTACATTCCATTTAGCATTTACGTTATTTCCTGTCTCAGGTCAAAACTTCAGTGCAGCATTTTCTATAGACTGTATGCTGAACTCATTGGTCCATGTTGAAGAAGGAAGACAGGATGGATCTATGTTTTTAAACGGTAACCATTCTATTCTTGACTGTTCATAGGTTGAATACAAAACCTTACGGCACAAAATGACAAAAAACAAACAAACAAAAAAAACATGCAAATATCAAAGTCTTTATCTCTACTTTTAAAAAGTAGAAAAATATTTGCTGACAATATATACACAAATGTTGAGTCTTATTGTTTCTAACTGTTAAGTGTTTCTTGGTTTTTGGTTTGGTTAGGTCGAGTGCTTACAAATAATCAATCTTCTTTACTCCAAACAGCAAAGATGAGTTTATTTATGTGAAAGTCTGGGACTTTCCCAGAGACATGGAAGCATTCAGTAATTATCAGCATTTTAACTCCATAATAGAGCCACCCAACATAAAACCAGTCATAAAATGTTATTATCTTTCAGTTTCCTCATGATTTTTCTGTGTAAATGGACTAAAATATAGCAATGCTGTAATCACTTTGAAACTATTTTCTTTATGTTTTTTTTCCTCTTTACTAAAAACAGCATCCTTTTCCTCCTGTTAAGAAGTAAAATACAAAATTGTGTCTAATTGTGGATTAGTATATTTAATAGAATCTCTTCTGTAATGGTGCACAATGGTGTGATTATGAATGTAACTTGTCTTGACTTGTTTATGAGAAACATCCAAAAGAACATGTGCAGTTATGTAGTGATGTCATATTTATTAGTTCAGTAATTGCATGTACTGAGTATCTCGGGTATCTGCCTGTACTTTGAATCTATTTAATCTCCATTTACCACAGAAAAGATAACAGAGCTCCACTGCAATGCAATGAGGCCTATTATCAAACTGATAATAGCTCTCTGTCATAAATGAATTGTAATGCAACAAATGCACTCAAGAGGTAAGAGCTTTATAGACTAAAGTACTCACATTGGATTCATACACTGGTCTCAGTGAATGCACAGTGGTAATCTATAACATTTTCCCCAGAATTTTTGAGCCTTCTTGACTATATGGTGGATTTATTTTAAATAATGTTAGACCATGTATAGACTTCACATAAAATGATGCTTTTTGAATTTAAGAAACCCTCTGAAATGCATTTTTAATCTGCAAATGCTCTATAAAACCCCGCAAGAGATACAAAATAACATATTTCTCCACCAACTGTTCAAACCCTGGAAGCCTACTCCAGAGAATTTGATTTTTTTATTTATTTTTTTTACATTTAGTGAAGCATCTGAATCCAAATCGAAAAAGATGAGAAAGAATTTGGCCTCGTCTTATCTGTAACTTCAACACAGAAAAAGACTCTCTGAGATTCCAGCAGCACTCAACCCGAGGTTTGTTTGAATCTGAAATGATGCTACGAGAGCTCCAACGTTGTTCTTTGCGTGCGTCACAATCTGGCCTATTTTCAACGTTTCAACAATCGAGGGAAAGTCACAATGTTCCAACTAAAATAAAATAAAGTCTGTTTTTGTGTATTTTGTGGGACGATACTAAATTGATAAAAGTGTGAAGAGAAATAAAGATGACCTCAATTTTTTTGATCCATCAGACTGTCTCTTTCTTCAGTACCTTGAAGTTGTGATGAACAGCCAAGCAGACGGTATTTTTTTCTGAGAATTAAAGAGGATGAGGCGTGTGATAGATCTGCTCTGCTCTGAACCATCTTTACCTTTCAGTGATAAAAGAAAACAGATATATCTTTGCAAGTCTGCATGTTCCTGTTGTGTTCCTGCTTGGAGAACACATTATGTAACTTCCTTTAACTTCTGCTGTGTTTGCTGAGAGGTAGCACAACACAGATGCTTCTAATGACGGCAGTAAAGATTAGAAACAGGGAAGCGCAGAAAGATCTTGTTCCAGAGCTAACCGAAACAAAATAATCAATAAGCCTCTCTGATAGACGCAAAGAGATATTTTTAAATAAAACTAAAAACTGTTTGTTCAGAATTTTAGATCAGCTAGAAACTCTGTTTTGTACAAAATTATATATATATATATATATAATCATGGGAACAATAAACAGATTTACTGAGATAAGCACAATTTCTCACACAACTAAAAACTGCAAACATTAAGCTCCTCTCACAAAAAGTATTTTAGTACATACTGTAGATAACACCTAAGTACAGGTCAACATACACTACCTTAATTAAAAATAAACATCTCAGATCCTCACTGCTGTGTGTCAGTGGGGATGTTTTAAGAACACAACCTTTGAGCTGCTGTATTTTTAAATTATTTACCCGTGGCGTTTATTGGTAGTTGTGGATCTTATATTTCTTCAACTGAGGATCCTACAAGACACAGTCCTCAGTACTCAGTCCTCAGTCCTAAGTCCTAAGTCCTCAGTCCTCAGTCCTCAGTCCTCAGTCCTCAGTCCTCAGTCCTAAGTCCTCAGTCTACAGTCCTCAGTCCACAGTCTACGATCTACAGTACTCAGTCCTCAGTACTCAGTCCTCAGTCCTAAGTCCTAAGTCCTCAGTCCTCAGTCCTCAGTCCTCAGTCCTCAGTCCTCAGTCCTAAGTCCTCAGTCTACAGTCCTCAGTACTCAGTCCACAGTCTACGATCTACAGTACTCAGTCCTCAGTCCTAAGTCCTCAGTCCTAAGTACCCAGTCTACAGTCCTCAGTCCACAGTCCACAGTCCACAGTCTACGATCTACAGTCCTCAGTCCCTGGCCCTCAGTCTACAGTCCTCAGTACTCATTCCTCGGTCCTCAGTACTCAGTCTACAGTCCTCAGTATTCAGGCTATGATCTACAGTCCTCAGTTCTAAGTACCCAGTCCTCAGCCCCTGGCCCTCAGTCCACAGTCCTTAGTCCTCAGTCCCTAGTCCACAGTCTACAGTTCAGTCCTCAGTCCACAGTTCTCAGTCCTCAGTAGTCCTCAGTCCACAGTCCTAAGTACCCAGTATTCAGTACTCAGTCCAGAGTCCTCAGTACTCAGTCCACAGTCCTAAGTACCCAGTACTCAGTACTCAGTCCCTAGTCCTCAGTGTACAGTTTTCAGTCCTCAGTTCTTTTCTACTTAACATTTGAAATGTTTTACTTTTGCTCACAAGTAAAAAAAAAACAACATTTATCAGATGTCACAGTTCATGCTCAATAATCCAAGTAAAAAAATCCAAAAATGTTCAGTCAGGTCTGCTTTTTTTGTTGAAACTTCTCGTCCTTCATCCAAAGACTTCATCAGTCCGAGGAGCCACAACAAACTCACTCTCATAAGTATCACACTAGCAAGCCAACCAGTTTGCTGGTGATAAAATGGTTTCTGGAGTCCGCCCTCTCCCCCATCGACTCCTCTGAGGCAGCCGTGGCCAAAGTGGTTCAAAAGATCAAAGTTCCTGTTCAATAATCCAGGTAAAAAAATCCAACAAAGTTAAGTCAGGTCCTCTGGACAGTTTCTTTTTGTTGAAACGTTATGTCCCGAGTTTGATGTGGCTCCTCAGACTGAGGAAGTCCTTTGGATGAAGGACAAAACGTTTCAACATTTCAAAGGAACCATCCAGAGGACCTGACTTAACTTTGTTGGATCTATCCTATGATTTTCTTCAAGTTTTGTAATAAACAGTAAACACACATTTTTAAACAGACATGCTTTTATTAGATTAAGCGTTTAGTTTAAATTGACTTGAATCTACATTCTATTGAAAAACAAAGCCCTAACGTTAAAGGAATCTACAGTACTTTCTGAGAGGCTAGTTAAAATCCTTCCAGTGAAATATTTTGCTAACATGACAGACACATGAATAAAAACATTATTCCCATCTTTCTCTTTGTGATATAAACTAGAAACAATCTGCATCTTGTGAAGTCATACAAAATAAGAACCAGTCCCTTGTGTTAATATTCAGTGACTCACATCATTTAACCAGATATTCATTCATCTCTCAGTGACTGATAACTAAAACCTGCTGCCTTTTACCATCTTCTGCTCCTGATAACAGGTCCAACCCTTTCACGTTCTGCGTCTCCTCTGAATAATGCTCAGTAACGAGTCGAGATCTAAATGATTAAAACGTGTCCCTCCACCTTCTGCCCTCGACGGCAATAAAAAAGAGCTATAAAATAAAACAGTCTGGCTAAAAAAAAAAGTGAATGTGAAAGCACAGAGCAAACTATTCCTGTCAAGTCACATTGACATCAAAGGTCACTCTGAAGCACCTCTGACTAATTTTGACTAATTAATCCATCTGAGAGGCTTCCTTCTGTGCTTATTGGCCTTCTCGGCTGAATGCTGGAACGTTATTGGACGTTGATAAGCCGAGTCGGGGCTGCGTCGTTCTTTCACATGTCATTTCAACTTTGTCCCTAGGATCTAACTCAGGCAGCTCTCACACTCACAGCAGCCACAAAGGAGAGAATTGATCTCATTTGCTGTTCATTCCCCGCTGGATGGTTTCATTGAAATTTCATCAGACACTTTAATGTCAGAATAATGACATTAACAGACATGGTAAGATCGCTGGCTATTCAGAGTGAGTGCTGTTGGAGGAAAGTTTGACTCGATGTGACAGAGTAAATTGAACTGATTTAGTCAGACAAGTGAAATGAAAAGGCAAACTGGCTACAGGTTCATTAAAACAGCTGTTCTTTTTGTTAAACGATAACCAGAAAGTAAAGAAAAACATGAGAGTTCAAAGAATGTTCTTGGTTTCAGGACCGTGATGGGATGGAGCTCTTTAACCTTCTGCTCAGGAACACAGAAGAATCAGCCGGCTGCCTCGGTGAACATCCCTGGACTTTGACTAATAATAACGTACGTTCCTTGAACAATCAGTGCAGTTTGCTCCTGAGCAGAGTCACCCAGGGGACAACGTAATCAAAACCTCCCGATGTCATCATGAACAGTACACTGTACACTGAGTTTGAAGTGGCTTGTGAGCAGAGGTCAAGCGCGGTTGAGCATAATGTTGGCGTCAGATCCCATTCATTGTTTCAATCTAGCTGCTTGGTTTTAAATTATGTTTTTGTTTCTGTGTTTGTGTGCTGGTGTGAAATTATCTAATTAGATTGGTCCGCTCGACAGCATTGGGGTCATAATGAGATAATTTGTACGTTTCTTCATTCTCATCAGGTTCTGAGCTCTCAGATAAGAGATGCTGATGATTTCTTAGACTCCCTGCTTCACAACTCCTCCTCCTCCTCTGCGCCAGCCTCCCCCCTGTGGTCGCCCTGCACCACCCACAATGGCAGTAATGAAGACCCTCTGACCGATACCGCAAGCAGCCCCAATCCGACCTCCTATTCAGCTTTCCCAGCCTTCGACGTGCATGTTTATTCTCAGCGTCCTCCTCTAGAGAACCAGCCACCGCGAAATGAAAGGAGGCCCGATGTTTCCATTGATTTAGGTAAGACCGTTAAAAAAAGAGAGATTTGCACGAACTGACTAAATCGCAAAACAGCAGAGTATAAAATTTCTGCAAGGACAAATGATGCTGGAAAATGAAGTTAAAATCAAGACCTTCAGATTATTGCATGGCTTCACACTCTTGAAGAGTGTTCAGGTCCCAACAAGGAGTGGAGCCAGAGGGGTGGCCAGGGTGGCACTTTCCCCTGGAACTAGACTGGCCATCCCAGCTGTAACTAAAAAATCAATGCATGTGGCATTGAAAAACATCCATCCATTTTCTTTACCCGCTTCTTCTTTTCTGGGCCATGGGGGTCACTATCCGTTAGTCACTGTGCGAGAGGAGGGGGACACCTGAGACAGGTCACAAGTCCACCACCAGTCCACATAGAGATAAACGAGACACAATATTTTATAACATATCATACAGGTTTTGTTCAATAAAATCTCAAGTGTTTACTTATAGATCTTCAGTATGCCCGTTTGCTGAAAGTATTTTCAATTTGTGAGTCATGTTCATGTAAAGAGGGAGATCCATGATGAATACATAATAACATGTGTGTGTGTGTGTATGTGGGGGGGGGGGTGTATGCAAGAGACAGACAGAGTGTTTCTGCTATGATGCGTTTAGGTTTTCCCTAAATTTGAAGCTGGACAAAATGTTGCACAAGTATATCCACTTCAGTCTTGTCTAATCAAAATAACATTTTCCAGAGCAGAGAAGGCTCTCCTTTGTTTTGTTTTTTTATCGTTGGATACATATTTGTGTGGGCAGCACGGTGGCGCAACTGGTAGAGCTGCTGCCTCTCAGCGAGCAGGTCCTTGGTTCAAACCCCGGTCCAGGGGCCTTTCTGGGTGGAGTTTGCATGTTCTCTCCGTGCATGCGTGGGTTTTCTCCGGGTACTCCGGTTTCCTCACATAGACCAAAAACATGCATGTTAGGCTGATTGGTAACTCTAAATTGTCCCTAGGTGTGAGTGAGAGAATGAATGTTTGTTTGTCTCGTTTGTCTCTATGTGGCCCTGTGATGGACTTGCGACCCGTCCAGGGTGTACCCCGCCCCTCGCACAGTGATTGCTGGACATGGGCACCAGCGACCCCCGTGACCCAAAATGGAATAAACGGGTAAAGAAAATGGATGGATGGATGGACATATTTGTGTTACTGACTGTCTTTATGATTCAACATGCAAACTGAGTCCTGTGCAGTCTTGGATGGGGGTCTTGAGTTGTTGTCATTTCTTCGATCATCATTCCACTCCAGGGGAAACCTGGCAGCTGTCATGCATGATTTTACCTTCTGGATAATTTCTGTCATTGCAGAGTGTGAGATGAGAAAATGTTTGGAAATGACCACTAAAAGCCTCCTGTAGTGGTTGTAATAAAATAGGAGATGAAGATTAAACTTTTAAACTTCGTTACATGTGAAGACACCATTACAGAACTCTATCATCCTCGTTCTTCTTCTGCTTTTCTCTTTTCTCTCTTTTCTGCCCTGCACTGTCTCAGCAGTGCCATCCAGTGACAAGGAGTAAAAACAGCAACAGAACTGGTGCATTTACGTTTACGCCTCTCGATTTGTTTCATGTGAAAGAAACGTTTGATGCCCCTGAAAAATAATCCAGCTTTTACTGAGGTGCTCTTTCTTGTTAAGGATCAGTTAATCAAGTGCATCTCATTAGCAGCACCCAGCTGCTACAAGCCTCCTGGTTTGGATTAAAGCAGACGGGGTGCATTTAATTTTTTTTCAAAATGCTTCCAAATTGAGCAGCCTTATCATTAGATGTTATTTGTCTGAGTTTTCTTATTCTAATTTTATTGCATGCTGAGGACTGCAGATTTTTTTTATTATGACCTGTTGGGTTCAACCTCAGAATATTCAAAGGATAAATTTACATTTTGTGCTTTGTTGTGTCACAAAATGTAATAAAAGCAGAAATCTGATATATTTAGCCTACAAAAGTAAAGCATATTTTTAAAAGATGAGATCAGAGAGATGATGGAGCAGATTAAAGCTCAACAAAAGTTTGACTAAAACATCCCAACAGGTAAATGATTTATACCAAATCTAAACTTGGCTCACAGGTAAGATCATTTTCATGTCAAAGCAAGGTTTAACAAAGTCTCATAGATCTGTGGGTCCTTCCACATGGCTTTTTATGCTCTTCAGAACAGTGGGGGCTTAATATTTTTGGTCACGTTGTGGTCATGGACTGCAGCTTTCACAACAAATGACAAAATAAATAAAATGATTGTAATCCACATTGTCATTAAGGAGGTTATTATTATCTTCATAATTTACTTTTGTCTGCAGCAAGAGGAAAACTTTGGGATGAAAAAGGAGCCTTGATGCTGATGAAAATAATTATTCAGCCCCGCTGTCTGAGGTTTTGCTCCTGTTGTGCAACAAGAGGCACTTTTGAACTGTAACAAATTCAAACGGTGACAAACCGTGTAAACGCAGCATCACATCTACCTGATAGCTTCCTCTTCTTCACCTCCTTTAACATCCCATCAACCTCCTTATCTTCTCTGCCTCTCCTGGATATCCTCCTCTCCTTCTTCAGTCTCGTTCATAAAAAGGTTGCAACTGAAAGATAATTCAACTTTAATTTGTTGGTAATAAACCGATACCTGATTTATATATGTAGACCTATAAGCTCTGCTTCTTTTGTTTTTGAACTTGTAGATAAATCAGGGACTGTCTGATGCTATTACAACAAAAGCAGACGTCTCCATCAAATCCCTCAGCTTCATTCATACCAACTCACCTGTTTTCTTTCGTATTTTTCCTCCCAGGAACAAAATATTTAACCACTCTATTTGCTGCAAGATGTTTTCTCTGCTGAATTGCATGAAAATATAGTGCTTGACAAACACAGAATAAAAAAAGAAAACCCAGTTATAACTTCCTAATGCCGAATTGTAATGACGGAAAAATATTTCTTTCTTTCATTTGTTAACGTTTTTGTTCAGAGCTGCACGTTTGCTCTTTAAAACACAAAAGGAGGCGATTTTGTTTGAATTGCAATCACGATCGATTCTGCGTGTCACAATCACTTGTTCCATTGTCGTTTCTGTGTCGTGTGCAGGCTGGGAGTCAGACGGCTGCTGTAAGGAGTTTGGGCTTACATACTGCCTCTCTGAGAACCAACCCCCCCATCTCACATCCAGCCATTCGCTCACAGTGAAGGACCTGCTTTTGTCCAATCTAGGACAAACAGTAAGAAGAGTTCAACTTTATGTGGCAGACTTGAGTTTTGTCAGTTTTTAGGCAGCACACTGAAGGAAGGAGGTAAAAAATCTTACATGCTGTAAAAAAAATTATGAGTGATCTCAGTTTGAAGAAGTTTCATGAGGAGTGAAGCAGCTGCAGTGCAGGGTCATTGACAGGACTCATGTTTCATTATATGAAACAGCTGAAACCTTAAAGTTTTCAGAATTCAAGGCAACATTTAATGTTTTCACTTGATCACTTTTGCATTTGACAGTTGTTTGTCCCTGTTTTCTAGAGTGAACAAACAACCATATGCTAAATGTATGCACAGAAACTGTTCACTTTATCTTTTCACTCATCAAATTTAATTCATTTTTGTCTTTTTCTTTTTCCATAACAACTACAAGAAAGAGGCTGCGGCTTCGACAGTAAATTAGACATTTAGAGAGTGATAACACTTATCCGTGCTGTTGTTTAGAACAGGGCTATTCAACTGGCGGCCCGCAGGCCGGAACTTCAATCCGGCCTAGTTCATAAAAATTTATTTATTTATTTATTTTTTAGTTCTGGGTTTTGGGTTTTGCTTGCAGCATGGTGGTGCAACTGGTAGAGCTGCTGCCTTTCAGTGAACAGGTCCCTGGTTCAAATCCCGGTCCGGGAGACTTTCTGGGTGGAGTTTGCATGTTCTCTCCGTGCATGTGTGGGTTTTCTCTGGGTACTCCGGTTTCCTCCCACAGACCAAAAACATGCATGTTAGGCTGATTGGTAACTCTAAATTGTCCCTAGGTGTGAGTGTGAGAGAGAATTATTGTTTGTCTCGTTTGTCTCTATGTAGTCCTGTGATGGACTTGTGACCCGTCCAGGGTGTACCCCGCCCCTTGCACAGTGATTACTGGACATGGGCACCGGCGACCCCCGTGACCCAAAATGGTAAAAGTTAATGGATGGATGGTTTTGGGTTCTTCTTATTGCATTTATGGTTCAATGCAATACAATAAACAAATTTAAAAGGTAACAGATAATTGTAAACTTTGGTTTATTTACATGATTTTAATCGCTGGATGTCCAGCCAGCTGTTGGCTTTCAGAAACTGTGGCCCTCCAAGCACTTTTATTGAATAGCCCTGGATTAGAAAGATGGAACTACTGTAGTAAAATAATAATAATTTTAAAAAAAATAAAAAAAAACAAACAGAATGGCCCCTGGCATGTTGCTAGGCACCTGTCACTGTGTATTATGTATATCCATCCATCCATTATCTTTTACCCACTTCTTCCATTTACCATTTTGGGTCACAGGGGTCGCTGGTGCCCATGTCCAGCAACCACTGTGGGAGGGGCGGGGTACAGACAGGTCTCCAGTCCATCACAGGGTCACATAGAGACAAACGAGACAAACAACCATTCTCTCTCTCACTCACACCTAGAAACAATTTAGTTGTCAATCAGCCTAACGTGCATGTTTTTGGTCTGTGGGAGGAAACCGAGTATCTGGAGAAAACCCACGCATGCACGGAGAGAACATGCAAACTCTATTCAGAAAGGCCCCTGGACTGGGGTTTGAACCAGCAACCTTCTCGCTGAGCGGCAGCAGCTCTACTGGTTGTGCCACCGTGCTGCCGTATTATTTATATGTGTTGGAGAAATCATCTTGTTCTCTGACATTGTTTATTCAAAATAACCACTCTCATGGCAGGTGAAGATTTTTAACCGGCACTTTTAGCAAGGTCAAATTTCAGAGCATGTTACATACATATATATAACATACATAACCAGACACAGAAATGAGCCACGAGTCGTGTTATTTGCTCACTTTAATATCCCTCTCAGCTCAGACTTCATCATAATTCAGGGGGTGTCCTTAAATCCAGCTGCAGTCTTCTAATACAGCCAAACATATGGTTCATGGGCAGAGATAAGGTATTGTTTGGTGAGAAGGTTGGACTTGTTTTGGTAGACAACCGAGCTTCTTGTTCTCAGGGCAGAGGGGAAGAATGTTCTCAGCCATAATAATAAAAACACCAACAACCTTTGATCAAGATCTCCCTGACATTATGCTAAAACCAAACATTGCTATCATTCTGTGAGTGTGTTTCTCTGTGTCATCAGTCTAAAAATGCATAGAAATGCCCATATTTTACTTAAATAAACTTATATTATGTATATTATGAAAACAAGAGACAAGAGTATTCTGTAATGAGACTCCCACCAAGCCCAGTGTGATAGTGGGGCATGCAGACTCTACTGCTAACATGTCAAAATGCTGTGACTGTTTTGTCAAGACAAGCATATAACTGCATTTTAAGTACCAGTAATGAAGTACTTTATATGTCTGATGTCTATCAAGAGCTGTTTGTAATTATTTCAATTCAACCTTTATTCATACAGGTTAGTCTCATTGAGCCTCGAGAACTCATTTACAAGAGAGACATGTTGTTGTTTTTTGTTTGTTTTTTTAACAAAGAATGATGACAACAGCAGACAACAATGATAGCAGTAGACAAGTTTAAAAGAAGGCATATAAATTGAAAAATAAATGGAAGAAAATAATGTTAAAAACAAACAAACAAAAAGCTACATTATAGACTGATATAAATACTAAGAACAGGAACATGCCTGCATTGGTTTTTAATTATCTGCACTTAGACCAATAGACTTAGACTAAATTAAATTTATATAATGTTGTCTTTTCCCCCTCATACTCCTGGCAATATTTAGCTATTAATAACTGAGGTTTTGTTTAACCTTTATACTAATTTAATAGTAATTAAATCAGTTTGACACATGCAATATGTAAAACACATTAGTAGACTAATAGCTACTATTTAAATGTTATTTATACTGGTGATATTATTTCCTGTTAGCTGATAAAGGCTGACCCTCATTTACATACAGTAATTATAGCAAGTGAAGTCTAGAGAAAGTGATGAAAGAGTGTACTGGCATCATTCCTGAATGAGGATTTCATCTTAATTTTCCAGACTGATATTGCACAGATGATTGTCTAATGCAGGTAAGATGCTGACTGTTCATTTTGCTGTGACCACAGGTAGTCAGTTAAATAATAATTTTCCAAACCTTCATGTTAAAGTATTCTTGGGCAAGACACTGATGCTTGTCTCCGCATCAGTTTGCAGACAGAAGAATGCTTTTTTGTAAAGTAAAATCACTTTAAGTGGTCAGCTGGATAGGAACATATATACATGCATTTAATTCTACTTACTCGTACAACCCCACTTCAAGAAGTTAAAACTCTTTTAATAAATATTGTCTATAAATCCAGTCAGAGCTGATAATGGTCTGGATGTTTTGGTTGTTTTAGACCATTTTGTGTTCTGCTCTGAAAGAGGCCAAACCTCTTTGGTCCTGAAGAAAAGTGATCTGATGAGATAACATTCTCCTCTCTAAGTTTTAATGAGAGTCTTGTTGCCTTCAATTTTGTTTTATAGGCTCCACAAATCCCCCAGAATTCCTTACAGGAACTTGTGCTTAACGAGGATGAGAAGAAGCTTCTGGTTAAAGAAGGTGTCCACTTGCCCTGCAAACTGCCCCTGTCCAAGGTTGGTACATGATCCACATCCAGATAGTCTGCATACACTCACATGCACATCTTTTGTGCTACGCAACTTCCCCATCCCCCCTCTCTCCTTAGTACCAATCCACTTTTGTCTCACTTACCCTTACATTTCTCACTCTTTCTTGTTTCTGTTCCTACATCTGTTTCATCTTTGTGACAAGTTTGAGGAGAAGATTTTGAAGAAGATCCGGCGGAAGATCCGCAACAAGCACTCGGCTCAAGAAAGTCGGAAGAAAAAGAGGGAATATGTTGACAGTCTGGAAGGAAGGTAGGCGCCGACTGCGCTCAGCATCTTCTGCTCAACATGACATTATTTCTGCGTGCCTTGGCCTATTTTTACCTGCAGTTACTTGTTTGCACTCTTTCCATTTACTTCAAATTGAACAAATTCCTAAAATTTTAAAGAGGTGAACATTAATTGCTTACAGTCTATTTTTATTTGAACTGATAGGTTTTTCATCACTGAAACCTCTGATACCCCGGACAAAAACTGCTCAGAAAGCATACAGTGCACAAAATACTTCTAGTTTAGAAGAAAAAGCTATTGTTTTTTCATTCAACGTTTATTTACACAGATAAATCACAATGAGCCTCGAAGACTCATTTACAAGTGAGACTTGTTTAGACAGACAAAAAGTAATGAAAGTGACACGTATAGGATTTGGTGGCGAAAAAAAATCCTCTCAAACTCTCACTCCTTGACTGAGGAGAGATAGCCTGAGATTGAAAAAAACACCCTGCACCTAGGCACATAGTGACAGACATTCTGCAGGGGAGGAGAGATGACAAGAGTGGTGAGCGTGTCCAAGGACACTCCAGAGACACTTTAGGAGTTCTGATAAGAATGCTATAATCATCAGTTCCCTCTGGTGAGATCCGTAAACACTCTCGATGGGTGCCGAGTTCGACCTAGACCTAGGACAGCGCCAGAGAATATCCAAGAGTCCTGAACTGATGACACAATGTTTATTCAGCCGGGTCCCTCTGATGGGTCCGCTGACTTCCTCGGTAGGAGGGAAGGGGCCAGAGCATCGAATTTACAGGGCCTCCAGGTGAATTGAGATAAGGTGGCCTATCAAGGCCAGTCGGTGAGCCAAATTCAGATAAAACATTTGTTTGGGGAATGGGCAGACCTTTACTGATTCATGTCTGCCTTGAGTCTTTGCTGGTCCTCACGAATCCCAAACGTCCAAATTAAGTGGACACACCGCTGGTCCGTGCCTGAGAGTATTCCCTGCAATCTGATCCATCCTGCCAGTGAATCCCAGGGGCCACAAGTGGCCTTCAATTCTCACAAATCACATCCAATTTGCGGTTCAGTTCGCAAAGCAATTGAGTCTGGGTGCTTGAGGCATGGAGCAAACCATCACATAAAGCAGGCAGCCTAACCAGGGCCAGATTTACTGCTGACAACTTACTTGATTGTTGATAAACCAGAAACCAGCCGATTCCAATAAGCAGGAAACCTGTTATCATAAATCCAGCTATATATGCATCTTCAACATCCTCAATGGACAGCAGAGATAGAAACATCACCTTCCACTCTCTCCAGGAATCAATGACATATCCAGCTGCGTACGTGTAGTCAGGGCAAGTCGGCTCGCCTGAAGCTTGTCTTCTCGTCGAGAAAATTTGATCAATTGCGTGTAGAGACCAGGCGACCAGATCCATAGCAAAAATTATGGTCCGGAAAATATGTAGAGAGAGGCTCTGAAGCAGTTTCTCAGAAAGGACAGAGCAAAAGCAAAGCGGAGGAGGGAGAAGAGGGGAAAAGCATCCGCCCTCGAAAAGAGCAAGTGGTGAAGTGATATGATGTATAGCTGACTCAAGAGAACAAATATATGTATACAGTAGAAATAGGCTGCAGTTTCCAAAGAATTTGATCATTTATTGTAATTTAGCTGCTGGTTTGACAACAGGTCAGAGTTCACTTGTCTACCAGCTGCTTCGTCAACTTTGTCATCGTTTTTTTAAGGGTGTTTGGCGATGATGTCAAATAAAAAAGCTTGAACAATATCATTAGGGGATTGTTGAAGTCTGAATTGGTTTGATTCAATTAGTTTGGGCTCTTTGAAAATTCTTCTCTTTGGAAAGTTTATAATCTCAGTAAAATTGAGAAATTTCATTATTTCTATGTTATTTGTTTTTAAGGGTGGTCATGTGGAGTAGCTATTAGGAATTAGTATCTTATCTGCTGTCAACAAAAGTAAGTGTAATTTCTATAAGAAGTATCAGGGAAGATTTAAAGTACTTGAAGTACTTTGCACTGCTCCTTAAAAATATAAATTTCAAGCTCTGAGTGCAGAGCTGACCTCTTTCCAGATAAGATGGATTTTGTCCCTCAGAGTCCAACAAAAAATGTATCTAGTTTTTCCTAGAATCTCATGTTTTTCCCCTTAAGCAGAATTTGCTTTTCCTGATTTTGCTCACCCCATTAAATTGCTGAGCTGACATGCCAAATATTCAGCTTTAGCATAACTCACATTTTATAAAAGTAATCTGAAACACTGTAATTATGCAAATTCAATCTGAATTGTCAGGAGACGCAGCAGGTGGCCCACATTCCCACACAACCAGCAGCTCTTTATGAGTTATCTCCGCTTTAAGCTGGCAGATTTTAAAGAGTTGCTGTTCAACATTATTTCCAACAATCCACGTGTTGGGTTTGTATATCTATCTGTTTTGAATATGAAAAAGGCTGCGGATCCTTTGAGCAGATTTGTTGTTATTTTAATCATTTGTGACATGACTGTGTCTCTATTATTCCAAAGACATATTTTCTCTATTAGCTGTGACAGCAACATCGATTCAGAGAAGAAAATGTGTGCCAGCTCCTATACTAAACCGTCATGTCATAGAAAGATAAGAACTGTGGGAAGTTTTGATACGCAGCTCCACATTGTTTTTATGCCACAACATTTAATATCACAGAAGGCCACCACTGAGCGGTGGTCTGAACTTTTAAAATCTGTCAGATAACCAGTTTATGACGCATTCTTTGGAGTGAATATGCACTTTGCTGAGTCAAACTTAACTGTGTGTAGTTAAAGTTACCCTGCAGCATTTGAAAAGTGCCCAGACTCAGAGTAAAACACAATTACATCCAGCAGCACGTCAGAGCACCCAAGTGTTTGTGTTGCAGCTGCTGGAAGGTTCAGGAAAAACCTCAATATGATGCAACACATCACACCAAAGGAGCTGAAGCTTTTGCTGAGATTTAGCTCAGTTTAGACATTTTCCACCCTCTCTGTCTCCAGGCTGTGTAGCGAATAATTTCTACCGTACAGCCAGCCTGCAGATTTACCAATAAAATTGCATACCTCCCACTTGTTGGCTTTTTCGTCTCATCACCTCTCCACAAACAATGCAGAATGTGCAGCTGTGTGCAGCCGTGACGCCATTTCTCTTTGTTTCGTCCCTAATGAACACATGTTCAGGTTAACTGATCCTCTGCAGCTCTCACAACACACAACATATGTGTGCTGCGAGTGAAACAAATTAAAACATTTCTGAAGATAGGTGCAAATACAGCATTTGCCCAAAATTCTTACATAAATTTGTAATAATTTAAATTAGGGAAAATGCCTACAGTTTGATATAGTAGTCCTTCGTGTACTGCGCGGGTTACATTCTGGACACCCCCCCCCCCCCCCCCCGCAATAAGTGAAAAACCGCAAGGTAGGGACGTTATATTTATTTTAGTATTTATATATATTTTAAGGCTTTATAAATAGGGGTGCGCCGATAAATCGGCGCCCCGATTTCCTTAATTTTGGGAAAAATCGGACGATACTTTAATGAGAAACTGATCTTTACCAATTTTTTTTAGTTTTAATAACAATTGTCTGAACTTCATTTATATTTCAGTGCACTACCTCATGGCCAGTTAAAACAAGTTAGTATTGTTTCTAGGATATTGTTCAAGGGTATGTTTTGCAATAAAATAAGATAGACACATTGAAGGTGCATTGTGACCTTATAACACCTGACAGTGTCGCTTATAAAACAAAATCGGAATCGGTAGGTCAGACTTTTTAGAAATCGGTGATCGGCCATAAAACTGCAATCGGTACACCCCTATTTATAAACACTTCCCACACTCTTGCAATGTTCTAAACTCTTAAACCTGTGTCATTTTAACTACATACGTATATGTAGCTACTAAATTTCACTCACCAGCTCTGTAGAACAGCAGTGACTTGGTTCCGGTCCAACTTGGTCTGTTTCGGCGGACCTACCTTGTCTGTTCTGGCTGGCACTCAGGCTCGGGTAGAGGAGGTGGGCTCCTGAGGGAGTGCCGGCCCTACGGCGGTACGTCCCCACTCGGAGGTCTTCGTGGGCCAGCTAGTAGCCCTCAGATTCACCAATGGGTCTGGATGTCCGGTTCTGCTCCGGTTCTGGTCCAGTTCCCAGTGGGTTCCGTGCGGCTCTCTGCATCCGCTGCGCACCGAAGTCACAATGAATAAGGACCGAACTTTTTCTGATCAGATCAAAACTTTCTCTCTAGTATTTCAGCAGAAGGCAATGAAATCAGAATCAGAATAAGTTTTATTATCATTGTACCAAGATACAAAGAGAATATGTCCGGGGCTTCTGGGTGGGGCACTGTTGGCTTCTGGGAAATGTAGTTGTTATGAGCGGGGATCCAGTGTAGGCTTATTGAGAGAAAACTACAAAATGGCGGCACCTTTCTGAAGTATTTTATTTTTTTGTTAACTTTTTACTGTACAGTATCCCGTACTGTCCCAATCATGTGAGTAATATTAAAGTTGACAATCATGTGTCGTGTACAATATTTGTTTCTTGTACAGTCTTACTTTGAAAAACCGCGAAAGAGCGAGTCCTTGAAAGTCGAACCGTAAATTAGCGAGGGACTATATAAATTATATAAGAAATGCAAAAGAACCAAGATCTAATAAAGGTTATAGCTGCTGCCAGTGGCTCATTGTGGTCCCAATGGTAACCACATACTTGTCTGTCACTCCCTGACAGCCAAGTTAGTGGGAAGCAGACAGTAAATGACTCAAGCAAGCCTCAAATGAGCAGTCGCTGTCTGAAAACAAGTCAAATCCTAAAGCCTTCAGTTTAAAAATTTGTAAAAGTCATAAAACTTAAACAGCAAATTAACAATAACTGTAAAATATATCAAAATCACAGTTCAGGCACATAAAGTCCAATTTTCTGTGGCTTGTTTAGACTTTGAATAACGTTTCTACACTGAAATATGTCTGAGTTAAAGAACTCTGAAGAAGGCTGGGTGTGTCGCGTTTTACCAAAGTCCCAGTTATATTCATTATTTTTTTGTCCTCCTTTTTTGCAAATTGAGTCCACATTGTGTGACGCTCAACTATTAAAGTCACAGCACACTATTCCTTTTTGAGTGCATAATTTGCATGTTTAATTTCAAAGCTGGTCGACAAAAGGTACAAAGGAACTAATGTTAACAGAATAAGGGTGCTTCAGTGCTTCTGCTTTGGCACCCCTAATTAAATATTTTGTGCGTTGAATGCCTACACACATAAAGGATGTTTAATTTTATATTTTAAATCTGAGGACAGATGCTTTTCAACTTTTGTGAATAGCGTCTACAATTAATCAGTTGTAACTGAGGCAATGCCTGAAAAGGATCACAACCCCCCCCCATGTGTGTTTTATTTTTAATCCGTGAATAGGAGCTTTAATAGTATGTTTTTTTATGACTCATTCAGGCTTGAGCTCTAATAACAAAAAGTTTCACAATGGGCTGAGATTGTCGCTGCTGTTGAGCAGAGTCAGCAGCATTTGTTTATGATTAAACCAGCTGCAAACGGAGCGAATCAACCGGATATTATTATCAGCTGAGGGTCATAATGGGTTCTGCTTCAGAAACACTGATACGAATCAGATGGATAATGGCAAAACAGGGAGGCACATCTTAATAACAAAACAATATTTGTTACCCTTCTCTCTTTATTCTATTTATTTATATTGTGTCTCTTTCTGCAGGATGTCTGCGTGCAGTGCCCAAAACCTCAAGCTTCAGAGAAAGATCCAGCAATTAGAAAAGACCAACAAGTGAGTCCTCACACAGGCCACCAAATTATTAAAATTATTGATTATTATCAAAGTAATGATGATCAATTTATCATTTTTTTTCTTTTCAATTTTTTTAGGAAAAGAGCTGAGCTAAAAGCTTTCTAAGTTGAGTCAAACAGGTGAAAAGGGTAAACTACCATAAACAGGAAGTGATACGCCACCATAAATATTTTTAGACGTTCTGATTTTTGCACTTGACTCAGTGAAGTTTTGAAATGAAGACACTGATAATTTACAGTGGTGGGCACAGTTCTGCTAATCCACTAAACTATTTTTTTCTTTTAGCAGATTAGTGTTTTTGCTAACTTTAGAAACCATTAACAGAATTAGCTTCCGCTAAAATAGGTTTCTCCAGCTTTAAGTCCGTAAACAAAATTCACAACCTTGTTCCTGTCTGTTGTGGGCGCGTCTCAAAAAGTCCATTAGGTATATTGGCTTACTACGAGTACACGTGACAAGACAATATTGGTTGACACAACTTCAACTGGAAGAAGACAAAGACTTGTGAAGCAGACTGAGTGACAGACAGTCGTCTTTCCAGTTAGCGGTTTAGCGTTAGCTTCCGCGTACATCACAGTGCCAAGCCGGTTGTTTTGATATAAAATCTGGGGGATACACATTGTGGTTCGGGCTGCATTGAAGTTGATAGACCCTTTTCAGGAGGATAATAATAGGGCTGCCGTCAGGCAGCCCCCAATTAATGACTTAAATCTGGTAAATAAGATTTTCTGAGATCACGGTGAACTCAAAAATTTAACAAGTCACTTGTCGTTTGTGGCACATATTATACAAAAATAGGTAAAGGGAATAAAGGACAGCACGGTGCCGCAGTTGGTAGAGCTGCTGCCTCTCAGTGAGCAGGTTACCCTGGTTCAAATCCCAGACCAGGGGTCTTTCTAGGTGGAGTTTGCATGTTCTCTCCATGCATGCGTTGATTTTCTCCGGGTACTCCGGTTTCTTCCCACAGAACAAAAACATGCATGTTAGGCTGATTGGTAACTCTAAATTGTCCCTAGGTGTGAGTGAGAAAGTGAATGGTTGTTTGTCTCGTTTGTCTCTGTGTCCTTGTGATGGACTGGAGACCTGTCCAGGGTGGACCCCGACTCCCACACAGTGATAGTTGGATATGGGCACCGGCAACCCCCGCAACCCAAAAGGGATGAAGCGGGTAAAGATAATGGATGTATGGAATAAAGGACATAAAGAAACTAGAATAATGCAATTGTACGTTGTTCCTCAGATTACAGGAATCTCAGGAAATTGTGGCCTAGTGACATACAAAACTTTTATAATACATAAAAATCACATTATAAATGTCTTTACTTTATCTTCTAAGTGCCCTGGTTTGCCCAAGCTTGCACCTACAAGCTAATCAGGTTCCAAGAGCCCTCAGGGTGGGGGCTTGTGTGTATCAGGAGCCAATGTAAAGACAACAGAACTGGAGTCACAACGATGGATCATGAGATTTGTTATTCGAAACAAAATATTTTCATCTGTAAGAAATCATAATACGTTGGGGTACACAAGAAACGTCCCTAACAATTGTAACAAAATACAATGTTCTTAAAACACAGATTTAAAGAAAAAGGTCAGATAATACAGTTTTTCAATCACAAATCTATAAACTTGGTGAAAACTTATTTACTGGAAAACAAATCAATGAGAAATCATGACATTTCCTTACACAACTTTGATGTGGTCAGACTTTATAAACACAGGCGCCCCCTGCTGGTTATGTATAGAACACAAGCTCAAAGTTCTGTCAAATTGGCTTCACTTTTCAGACACTGAAGCCATGTTCATTCTGTTTGTTTATGTCTGTTTTTTCAAGTATTTGTCAGTGTATTTATTTGTCCATGCATTAGCAAAATATCTTATTAACCAAAGGCCAGGTTTTAATGAAACTTGCAGAAAGCTTGACAAAGTAACCCCACCAAGAACTTCAAATGTGTGAGATTGTGCTACAGCTTCCCTTCTCATCATCACATGGTCTTAGCCTAAAACTCTGGCATGAAAGGTAGTGGATGATATGCATTCTATGAGGAAGGCTTTAAGTCTTTCGTATGTATTCAGGGACACTTGTATTGGTTTAATTTGGTTGAACAAAAATGCAAGAACAACCTCGGCAGCAAATGTCTGATCCTAAAAACCAAACCAGGCTGCACCACCTAAAACTTCATAAAATAAATCAAATAAAATCATATCTGAGAGTGTGCATTGGCTTTTTTTTACTATGTACTCATATTTTAAAAAAAAGTTTCCATTAATTTTACTCTTAGGACTTTATTTTGCTGTGGATCCTATTTAGTTCATTCTTTTGACACGGTGTTGTGAGGTGGATGGTGTCAGTTTGTGTTATTAGTTGATCTATATTCAGATGGCCTCGGGCTCTTCCTCTCAGGGCGCTGACAGCCTGGATAAGAATATTTCCGACTCGGTGCGTTATCTGTGTGGCAAACAGCCGCAGAACAAATTCTAAAAATTAACGCTCTGTTTTCTGATTTTTGCTTCCTTTTCATTATGACACACTGCTTTCTCTGATACTGGCAGAGAGCCGGGGTGAGCAGAAACCAGAAAAATATGGGAAGGAGCTCAGTAGACTCTTTCTTTCACTGCTGTTCTCCTTCTTTTTGCTTCAGTTGCCGAAGATCACAGACGCTGAAAAAGCGATGCCTGTATTTCATCTTCGGGCCCCTTGTGTGAAATTTTCACACAATCTCTTTCATCTCTCCTCCTTTCTTTGTATTACAGTGCTCTGCTGGAGCAGCTAAACCAGCTACAGGCTCTTTTGCCTAATAGCTCGAGCAAGACAACAAACAGAGGAACCTGCATCCTGGTGAGACACAACACCAGCGCTTCCATTTGCACCACAGAGAAAGTGTTCAGGCACGGCAGATTACAAAGTCAGATGCAGGAAAAATGTATGCAACATTTCAATAAAACACTGCCTGAGTTCCTGCTGCGTTAACCTTTAGGATTTGAAAGGAGACTGCTTGAATGATGGCACCTGTTCTCATCTTTTGTGCAAGATGTTAAGTAGGTCATGCCTGATAAGGCTTTTTCATTTTGTCTCTGTGCGTTTATTCATTTTTCTGTCATCTGTGTTTTCTCCGCGTGGCTTCCTTTTTGTCTGTGTTCGTGTCCAGGTTTTGCTCCTCTCCTTCTCCCTGCTCATTTCCCCTCACCTCCAGCCTGAACCTTACAGCCAGCGCAGCCATGCAGAATACGCCACCGCCAAAGGTCTGTTGACACACACTCCTTCGGTCACGCGAGCACACTGGCGTACACTTACTCACCTCCACGTCTCTACCCATCAGCATCGTCTCGCTCCCTGCAGACCATGGATGAAGCGGAAGATGTCCCTCCTCCTCCCCCTCTTCCACTCCTTTTCGTCTCCAGGGGCTTTGGAGGCCTGCGAAGCCTTAACGGAAGGCTTGGGGCTCAAACACACCTCCCTTCCTTTCACCACCAGGATCAGAGACAAGAAGATGATTACCAGCCCCAACGGAGTAGAAACATGTAGCAGAGGAGTGTCGACTTGTTTGCAAACGCATCGACCGAGCAGGCACTTTATTTGCTTTTCAGCATCAGCTTTTTACTGTTGAGACTTGGTGGTGCTCCAGTGCACAAATATCTGAACAAAACTCACCCTCTTTGACGGTTAGTAAGGAGCTCAGCCTCACAAGGTTTTAGGAATTTGTCATTTTGCTACAAAAGTTCAGAAACAGTCCTCAAGGGCATTGTGGACTGTGTACAAGGCACTTTTAAAATATGTATAATTTGTAAATGAACACGTACGTTTGTTGGCTGCTTTATTTTATTTACTTTAAATGTGTAGAATTAAATGTGAAAATGGTGAGGAGTAAAAAATGTGACAATATCTGTGGAAAAAAACACCTTTGGTCATTTTAAATAAACTGGTTTATATTAAAAAAAAAAGGTTTCTCATTGATTTCATACTTTTAAAATATTCACTATACGCCTTTCTTTCTATGAAGGTGAAGGCAGTCTATGTAAAAAAACAACAAGAATGTGCATTTTAAGTAAATGACTCAATGTCTTGAGGTGTTTTATCGCTTCTGTGAAAAAGTGCTTCAATATTCAGGGAAAGAAAGGAGATGAACAAAAGTAGTGTCCCTGAGACAACTGAAGCCCCCACACAACTTTTCATTAGACTTTGTGGACAAGTAAAAACGAAACAGCAAAGGTGTATCCGACTGTGTTTCCGCTCTTACATGCAAAACACTTGCCTCATGAGTACCGATCCTTGTCAGCAGCAGCTGTCAGACTAACTTAAATTCTCTCCGTCATTATCTCAAGTGAACTCTTGTGAGCCGCACAGAGAAGATGAGATTCATCAGGTTCATTTTTTTAAAAGCTTCAGCTAGCAGCTGTAAATAGTTGAACTTCAGGTCAGGGCAATCGCTCAAACTCTGTTTTACATGTTGATAATTTCCCGAGCGTGTAGAAGGATTATACCTTGAAAACTCCAAGAATAAAATTTTCATGAGGTAGGTTTTTGTATGAAGTATTTCGGCTCTGACTCCGCAAGCAATTAAAAAACAAATTGAGTTGTAAAAGAGCTAATTATGATGTGTTTATTTTTTGTTGTTGTTGCCTGAATTAAAAAAAAAATCATATTAAGCTATAACTTTAGGAGGATATGAGCTGCATGTCGACATGCAGTCTAGTGAAATGTATTAGATTTATTCAGCCCACAGTATTTAAAAAGTAATGGTTGTTTTTAATCTAACAATTCTTTCTGGACGCAGCTGATCAAGAGAAAAACTGCAAATGTGAGCTTGAAGGGAAAGTTCATATTTTTTTCTCATTTAACATTTATTATTTAAAACAAGGCCAGTGCACATAATTGAAAAACACTGTATTCGTAAACATGACAGACTGTATGTAGCCCAAGGCTAGTTTTCATCTGTTTGTCCCTCGACATGCTGATGTTAGGATATGCATGAGACATTACGCAAGTGAGGAGAATTCATATAAAAGTGTGCCCACAAGACAAACTCATGACACAATAAAACACAACTAAATCCTTACAGAGCAGGTAAAGCCCAGGATGGCAGAAGTGACCATCAATCCTGGTATAATCAGCCAGCATTCTTATAAAACATGAATGAGGCTGTGTTCACTCTGCAGGCAAAAGTTGCCCAAGTCCAACTATTTAACCCATTTGTGACCTTTGTCAAACTTTGTATGCTAGTCTGAATGTGACAAATTGATTTTTTTTAATCAAACCCAGGTCATTTTAATAAGTGATGTTAAATCGTATTCATTTCCAGTGCTTTTTAGAGCAAACCACAGTTTGAACGATCATGTCACATTTCATTTGACTTTTACCTAGAGGTCAGAATCAGAATAAGCTTTATTATCATTGTACCGGGATACAGTGAAATTATGTTCGTACAGTCGTCCGAAAGATGGGCAGAGTGCACGTTGCTGCTGCTTAAAAGCGTGGCCCCATATTCTTTATCAGAATACTTTTAGATAGAAAAAAGGTTAGAGCCATGAGGATGGATAGTGGTATTACAAAAAAGATCTCTTCACATCTTGTCCTGTCAGGACACAATTTGAGATATCAAAAAAACGCTACCAGCAAGCACATTTATAAACATGATTACATACACTTTGTACATTTGATGTCAAGACGTTGAGATTTGTCCATGAGCACTTTCAGATAGGTCACAGTTCTCATGTTGTTGTTTCAGCTAGCAGTTCTGATAAGACTGCACAGAAGTTCTCAGGGGGGGTGCGATTTACCCATGTCCCAGGAGAAATTGATAGCCGGCTCATATCCAAGGCCAAACGGTGGAGTCAGATTCAGATAAGCCACAAATGTTGAATTTTCTTCAGGCAGACTGTTTTTTCTCATCAGCCTTGAGTCCTGCTGGAACTTTCCTGTCCAAAATGGTCAAATTTATGGATATCCACTCCACTGATCTGTGTTATGAGCCTTTCTCAATGTCGATTCCAACATGCTAACGAGTCCCAGGAGCCGCAGGTGGCCTGCGATTCTCACAAATCACCTCCATCTTACGGTTTAGCTTGTAAATCAGCTGATTTTAAGTAATCATAGCACGAACCAAACATTCGCACTGACTCAGAAGCTTTGTCATGGCCAAAACTGCTGCCGAGGTCTTCTTCAAAACTTGATAAAACAGAGCCCCGCCGATGCCAAAGAGCAGAACCCCTGCTATCATACATCCAAATACATCAACATCTTCAGCATCCTCCTGAGACAGAACTGAGAGACACATCAGCTGCCAAACTCCCCATGGATCACTGGTGTACCCTGCAGCATGAGTCTCAGACAGACAAAAGGGTTCTCCAGGACCCTGTCATTTTATTGAAAAGATTTTGTCGATGGTGTTGAAAGTCCAGCTCACCAGATCCATAATCATATTTTTCGTTCGGGAGATGTGTATCAAGAGCTTCAAACACACAGAGAGCAGAGCAGGAGGAAGGAGAACGGGGAGAGAGAGCAGGAGTGTCCGCCTTGAGCGAGAGTCAGAGTAGAAAATTCTATTATTCATCCAAATACTAATATTATTGGTAGCAGCGCTGAGCAGTTTAAAGCTTAGAACTCCATGGGCTTCAGTTTTGAATTGATAAAGCTCTCCAAACGTGAGGCAAACCGTCTTTTAAGTACAGAAAAAAAGTCCAGTTGCTCAGTTTATTTAAGCTTTTTGATTTGTCATGACTGAGACTCTACAACAGCGTATAGTACCAACGTTGGTGTTGTACCAATACAAGCATGATACAACCGATACTTGACTGTGTTTCTCTTTATTTTCAGTAGATCACTCTGGTTCAGGATTCTAAACTGGAGTAGACAGGAATCAACTAGTGCAAATGTAAGCATTGGATGAAACAAGCATGGCAGATAATAATCGATTCTGATCACGCATCAGAATCAATACACTCATGCTAATGTGTAGCACTGGTATTTACTTCTGAAAATATAACATTATAGACCTCACAATCCCCTTTGATTGCATACCATGCTCTATAGGTTGCTGCAGGTAAGATGCTGACAGCTCATAAATATGCCATGCAACTCAATTTTAGGAAAAACTGAACTATCCATTTAACAATAAAAAAGATGGAATTCAAAAAATGTAAACTAGAAATGCAAGTAGGCTATGCTATTCACTGTGGCTTGGAGTCCGAGATGAATTATTGATCAAACAGTTTTAAACAGACTGGTGGTGTAGCTATATTGAGTTTGAAATGAGGGTATAGAAACTCAGTCAGAATTTGATCATGTTGGGTTTGAACAGAGGGGCTGCCAACTCTGGATAGAAAAAGATCACGCAAACAAACGATGATTCATATACATGATTTAGATGAGAGAAATTGGAGAATTTATGAGTAATTAAACAAATTACCTGCAGAATAAATATAACAGAATATTATAATGACTAGAAGCTTGCATATATTTGTATATATATATATATATATATATATATATATATATATATATATATATACATACAGTTATTGTGTTATTTAAATGTCACAGTTATTGTGACATTTAAAAACTTGTAAAGATAAATGATGTTCAGTTCTGATAAAACCTGCTGGGAAACACTTACTGCAGTGATGATTTTCATCTTTAGTGAAAGGTAAATTTGAATAAAGATTACCTGAGGGGAAAAAATCATAAAAGAATGTCCCTGAAAGTGTATTTTGTAACTTGTTAAGAGACTTTTTTGCAGATGTTTCTTAGGATTAAAAAAAAAAAAAAAAACTGAGGAAACTGGCTCAGCTGGTAGAGCTGTTGCCTCTCAGTGAGAAGGTTGCCAGATCAAATCCTGATAGGGGTCTTTCTAGGTGGAGTTTGCATGTTCTCTCTGTGCATGCGTGTTTTTTTCTGGGTACTCCAGTTTCCTCCCACAGACCAAAAACATGCATGTTAGGCTGATTGGTAACTCTAAATTGTCCTTAGGTGTGAGTGAGAGAGTGAATGGTTGTTTGTCTTGTTTGTCTCTATGTGTCCCTGTGATGGACCTGCGACCTGTCCAGGGTGTACCCCGCCCCTCGCACAGTGATTGCTGGACATGGGCACCAGCGACCCCCTGACCCAACATGGAAGAAGCGGGTAAAATATAATGGATGGGTGACTATGTACATTTTTGAAGTTAGGTGCAGATTTTCTGGTTTTTGCACACAAATCTGTACATGATGAGCTTTATTGGTCAGAACGTGCTTGACCCCACATCCTCTCATTGTGATGCAAAGGCACAGAGGGACCACAGCACCCCCCTGCTCCTGAACTCTGTGCAGTAATGAGGCAGCTGCTCACTGTGTTTATTCTTTGGTACTTTTCCCCTCAAAGAATAGGCGCTAAATTCCTTTGTCAGCTGGAAGAAAGAACTGTATTTGAAAGAATCTGCGAGGCTGACAAAGCCAACATTTCATGATGTCAGAAGTGATTCAGCTCAAAGTGTCCTTCTTCACAAACACAAACTAAAATGCACTTTGCCTTTATTTCCACACATTTGTTCAAACCTGCAGCATAATGAGGACAAAGTGGCTCTCGGTTTAATATTCTACCTCCAATCCCGGCTTTTTAATTGCTTGTAAAATGAGATGAAAATGAAAGTTGGCATCTCTAAGTACCTTGAAGAGCTCCAGCAGAATGTCAATGACTTTCTTCAAAAAGAGAGCAAGGTTCAACTACAGTATGTGTGACTTTCCATCAGGTAAACACACACACACACAGTTTTATGGTATATTTTGTATGAGCAATTGCCCCATGTGCTTGAGAAGAAAGAACAACTATTCAATAATTATTAATAATTAACAAGGAAAATATATAAGGACGTAAAGACATATTCTCACATGCAGATACACTAATTAGATGCTTGGGGAAAACGACTCAGCCTCTCTTTTTATTATTTTTATTATTTATTTTACAAAAAAATTCACTCTGTGAATCACAGCAACCAGTTGTGTGAAAACCAACAGGTGACCTAAAAAAGAAAAAGTCTGGAAATGAAGAGCACCAACACCTCTCCTCTCCTGCCTCATCTGATGTGCATCATTTTCATCCTCAAGGCTTTAGCAAGATTTAAAAAAATCCCTTTATATTTTCCCTAATGGTTTTTGTTTTTATTAGCTGCTTACATTTAGGAGGGAATAATTAAATACCAACTTGACGCACGTTACTTTTTACGCACGAACTGATGACCTTGGAACGCGCGCGTCGATCTATTGACGTAACTAAAAAAGAAATCCGCCTCTGTGTAAAATGATCCGTCTTTAAATATGAAGTGGATGTTGTCTCCCTGCCGTGGAACGATGGTGGAAACACTGTGGATGAGCTGTGCGCTCCCACAGTGCGCCTTCAAGCGGCGGAACAAACACTCCGGCGACTATAAAAGCTTTCAGCCCGCGCGAGCGCTCCGAGTCTCAGGATGAGGACGGAGCTGCATCATGTCAGAATCACGGCTGAAGGTGCCAAACGTAGGCTGGTTTATTTAAAATCCAACAGCTTCCTGTTTGAAAATCCCACCATGTGAGCAGAAAGGCGGTCTGTGTTTTTGAGCTTTCGGCGCCAGACGCAGGAGGATGAGGAGGATGGAGGTTTTTCCCTTCACATCTGTGCGCCCTCAGCCTGGAAGTTAGCTTAAAAGAAGGAAGGAAACACCTGGAAACTTGTTCTTTCCCTCCCTCTCTGGTCAGTCATGCAGAGCACCAGCAGCTACCCAGGACCTCCAACCGGGTTAAGTGCGTGCGGAGGAGAGGAGGAGGAGATCTCGGAGCTGGTCAGCCCGACAGGAGCAGGCTCCATCATGCCATCTTTTAACCTTTCCCTCAACTGCTGGCTTCACATCCTCTCCAAGGAGTCCTCCATGGATCTGCATGGAGATACCGCCAACCTGTCTGTAAGTTCACCGCATGTGCAAATTCAAACTCAAAGGGCATGCAGGTTGTTTGTCTTAGGTCCAACATGACGTGATGTTGGACTGACATGTGTCTGACAGGTGCGCGTTCTCATCGCTCTGGTCTACCTGGTGGTGTGTGTCCTGGGGCTTGTGGGTAATCTCCTGGCCCTCTTCCTGCTCCACTCCCGTCGCCATGGCCACCATCACTCAGCCATCGACTGCTTCGTGATGAGCCTGACTGTCACAGACCTGCAGTTCGTCCTCACCCTGCCCTTTTGGGCCGTGGACACGGTGTTGGACTTCCGCTGGCCCTTTGGCCGGGTCATGTGCAAGATTGTGAGCTCGGTCACTACCATGAACATGTACGCCAGCGTTTTCTTCCTTACCGCCATGAGTGTGACCCGTTACCACTCCCTGATTACCTCCCTGAAGATGGGCAGTCCTAAAGCTGCCACAGCTCGGGCCAAGTGGGCCAGCTCAGCCATTTGGGTGGTGTCTCTGGTGGCCACGCTGCCACATGCGATCTACTCCACTACAGTTCAGGTCTGTTGAAATGAGACTTGACCTTTGATCTCAGTTAGTTTATTTTTGGTGTTCATCCTCTGGTTCTGTGTTTACAGGTGTCTGCAGATGACGAGCTGTGCTTAGTTCGGTTTTCTGACTCTGACTCGGGACACTGGGACCCCCAAGTCTTGTTGGGGCTCTACCAAACGCAGAAGGTTCTACTGGGATTTGTAGTCCCTCTGATCATCATCAGTGTGTGCTACCTCCTCCTGTTGAGGTTCATCCTAAGCCGGCGCATCATTGGCAGCTCTGTAGGCAGCGGCACCGATAGGTCAGAGTATGAGAGAGGACGCCACCGCTCCCGCTCCAAAGTCACCCGCTCGGTCACCATCATAGTCCTGTCCTTTTTCATCTGCTGGCTGCCGAACCAGGCCCTCACCCTGTGGGGGGTGCTGATCAAGTTTGACTTGGTGCCCTTCAGCAAAGCCTTCTACAACGCTCAGGCCTACGCCTTTCCCCTGACTGTGTGTCTCGCTCACGCTAACAGCTGCCTCAACCCGGTGCTCTACTGCCTGATCCGCAAAGAGTACCGAGCCGGACTGAAGGAGCTTCTTCTGAGAGTTTCCCGGGCCGTCCATAACGTTCTGTCTTTGGCTCTGAGAGGGAGAAGAGTGGAGGAGGCACCACCCAGCTCCGTCATGATACACAAAGACATCAATATGTGATTTATTCTGGACGGTTTTGGAAAGACTATTATTAGCTTTCTTTTTGTACAGTGCATATATTAAAAGCAACCAAAACAAAGAGCGTCCTGATGCATGCTCAATAATCCAGGTAGATAAATCTACAGGGTTGAGTCAGGTCCTCTGGACGGATTCTTATTTGTTGAAACGTTTTGTCTTTTCTCCAAGAGACTTCTTCAGTCTGAGATCAGCGCCTCAGACAGAAGAAGTCAAAAGACAAAAGAAGAATTCATCCAGAAGACCTGACTCAACCTTGTTAGACAAAACAAAGAATATTTATTAATATTATGGTTTAGGGTTCATTTTTGGCCGAACAAGGTGAACTGATTTCCAGCTCATTATTATTCAGTTACTGAATAATAATTTATGTTATTTGCAGTTTGAGCCATCAGGACATGATTGATCAGAATTATTTGAGTGAACTGGCGTTGCCAACACATGTTCACTAATAAGTTTTTTTTTTTCTTGCTATCATTCCATGGAGATAGCTGAGAGAAGGTGAGTTAAACCGGAAAAAAGAGACAGGCACCAAATACTTTTGTATTCATTCACCTTGAAAACTGTAACCCGGAGGTGGGAATGACTTCACAACCAAGACGACTAGTTGGAAGACATAAAATCTGCAGGATCTGCTCATGTTGAGCTCACTGATCAGATTGTCTCAAGCTACAGCCGATGACAGATGGCAACAAGCGACCCTTTAGGCACATGGTCACTGATATATCTTAGATGAGCCAATATGTTGAATTTTCTTTTTTTTTAAAGTGCCAATCAAAAACAGTTTTTGACTAAAAATAGCTCTGTAGTTTGCACTTCATGAGATGTATTATTAATTTAATATTACCATATTTTTCACTGTATACGTCGCACCTTTTTGCATAAATTAGCATGCCCTGTGACTTATACCATACCACTTTATTTATAAAGCACTTACAACAGCTACAAGGCCAACCAAAGTGCTGTACAGACAAAACAACAGGTAACACACAAAGCAAAATACAAAATGAGGTAAATCAGAATATAGACATAAAAAATTATACAGCGAAGTGAATAATTTATGTTTTTTTTTCCCCATATTTATAACCCCATTTTTGGCTGAAATCTGATGATTTCATTGATTTTGACATGGAAAATATTGAACACTACCATTTTCGGCCGCTAGAGGACACTCAACTGAAGTGGAAAGCCAAGTGTTTCATTAATAGGTAAAAGTGGCTATTAATGAGACACTTAGCTTGCCATACCAGACACCTTCGTCTCGCTCTGGAACTCCTGGAACAAACGTCAAACCAGTTGCATTTCATTGCGACGCCCAGGCGAAATGCAGCTGATTTGACTGTTAAAGTTCATTTATTAAGGAAATGTTAAACTGAGACACACCTTTACTACAATTTTGAGCAAACAAATAATAGTTTTTAAGTGTTAATCTTGTTAAATTCTTGTTAAAAGTCCTCCTGTGAACGCTTCCGTGGCTACCATTTGGTAGCCAATCGATTTTTGGCAGAACACCGGCCCATGCTTCCGGGTGGTCAGCAGTGACACGTAACAAACGAGACACATCAGCGGTGGCGCATAATAGATGTGACTTATACAGCGAAGCGACTTATTTATGGTTTTTCTACTTTATTTTAGACATATTTGGACTGATGCAACTTATACGGCATGCACTGCGACGGCAAGTACGGTAATAATAAAACTTTTTGGCACCAAATTAAGAGAAAAACGTATTTCATTGTAATTATTTGTATGGTATTTGTTAACTGAATTGTGGTGATTGTGGCAGCTAATAAATAAAAGGAAATACAGAAGTAGAGAGCTTATTCTTTAATCACAATGATGCCATTTGAACCAAACCCTCTACATGGTGGCTCGAGCACAAAAGAGCCAAACTATGCTAGCTACTGAGCAAAGGGCTTTGACTGAGGTTGGTAGCAGAAAATCATTCATTTTAGTTGCCTTTTTATTGGAAATAAGAAGCATTTCATAGTAAGTTTGTATTTTTTCCACGTTTTGGAGAAAACCAAAGACAAACTGTTTTGTCATGTTATGCCTAATCCTCAGACATCATGGTGCAAACTGTTACAAGGATTTTTTTTCTTTTTCTTGTTCACTTGTTTTTTTTAAAGGGGTTGTGCAGCTTTCTTTAAAGCAGTTGCTTTCTTACCTGCAGTCGATTGGATCTCTGTACACTCAAGGAAATAGGAACATCACTCTGCTGTTTAGAGAAGAAACCAATGTAAGAGTGAATTTATACAATTTAAATCATCTCGATTTCTGTTCTTTAGGAGTTTGAACAAACAATACATTAAGTACTGGGACTTTACATGCTGGTACTTAAAGTTTAATTATGTCCTTGTTATATGGACAAGTGCATACTGATTGTGCTAATATGCTAACTGCACAGCGGAGCAAACGAGAGCTGAATTCATGAGGAGTTGTCTCCTAATGGAAACAGTTTTACTTGTGTGTAATTAGAGTCATCCAGATATTCTTTGCACTTTCCAGAAAAAAAAATTGTAATCACTCATTTATATAGTTTGAGGTGGTTGTTTGGGATTATACCAGCAGAATTTAGTCTAATGGCTAATTTGCTGAAGGATGTCACCGAGCAGCTTCTGTGCACACAGTCATGAGTAGCAAAGCAGATTTTGTTTGGAGGAAATATTTAACCCCCAAGATGTTAGAAATTCTCACTTGAAAAGTTTTTTGCTCTTAGTAGCCATTAGCTCGACTCCATCATGAAAACTTGTCCCTGAATCTTTCAACTCAGATCTTCCTGCAGTTGTCTGATGCGGCTGAGATACTGACTACTCAAAACGACTCCATATAATCCTCACAGTTAGATCTTTTGACGTTTCATAGGACTGGGCTTCATGCAAACATGACAGCATAGTGTTCATCTATCAAATCAATCATTTGAGCTCATCTTAGAAAAAAAGGCTCCAGCACAGTTGGCTCAAACTTGTATTTAGAGCAGTTTTCTTTTGTTTGTTTGTTTTGCATCTACTGTTGTTTATTTCACTCCAACAGTTGCCCATAGACTTGAATGCTGCAGACAAACCTGAGCAGCCATGTGTTGGTTTTAATTCTTTTTAACTTCTCAGAAAATACTGTAAACCACTTGTAGGTGAATTACAAGTGCATGAAAATAATTATTTTCCAATATGATCAACTGGCTTTGGGTTACACAGTAATATAATTGAAGCAAAATATAAAGTGATGTTTGATTAGTTTGACCTATAAAGTCATTTGTGTATAATCTCATTAGGATTATTGCTTTTTTTATGTCCAACAAGAGCTCAGTCTTGAGCAGTGAAACGACTCTTGGACCTTTGCCATTCTGTTTGACACAAGTGTAAAAATGTTTGTGCAGCGTCTGCGTTATTGTGTTTTTGTGAATACATGTACGTCCTGAGACATTAAATAAAAGGACAATAGAGTTCGCTGACGCCTCGGGAAAGTTAATCTCCCCCTGCACGTCACATGGACGAGGTAAATGAGTCAGCTGCACAAAAGCTGGTCCACGTTTTGCCCTTTAGCGACCTTTAGAATTGGAACATGGATAACCTTCTGCAGCGACCCTCAGACGAGCCGAGGTCCTGACGTGCAAATGGCGCCCTACACTCCGCCACAGTTCCTCCACTGTGTGCTGACCGAGCCCGAATCACACGAGCTCTCACCATGTCTGCCTTTTTTCCCCTCTGATGTTGCTGAGAAGCCAGCAGGTCTCCAAGGAAACCTTCATCTTCACAAATAGATCAAAAATGAGATTTCAGTTAAACATGAAAATTGTGGCAAATTTTGCCCAACGCTGTGCTATTTATCATCAAAAAAGTGACGTCTTATACCTTTTCCTCCTCTTTTATGTAATGTTATATAGAACTCCCAAAATGAACAGACAAAATGTCTTTTGGATCTGGGTCCACATAAGCAAGAACCATCTGACAGGTACAAGGACACTTTCAAGTGTACTCAATAATTGTCAACTACAAGGAGCAATTTCACACTAAAAGATGAAAAGCACTTGAAGAAATCCTATCGAGTGGTTTAATTTGTGCTTATTGAGCCACTACGGATCAAGGTTTAAAACAATTACAAGCTCAAGGTGTTTATTTACCACAAGGACACAGTTAACCGTGATGAGCATGGGCTGCACAGTCGGTCAAAGTCAGTGGGACACACTCAAAATGAATTTTAAAATACAGCAGCAACGCAACCACTGAGAAAGGAATCCATTTTTAATAACATCAGAGTAGAAGTTTTTATGTGCAGGGATGTGTTTCCTGTCCTGAACAATCAGTGCATGGACTCCAGCCTTATGACGCTGGAACGAGGTCCTTGAATGGATGCATTATCGATAAGCAAGAAGCAAAGTTATTTGCAGAAAGTTCACGTCCTCCACACAAGCAGAAAGTTGGTGTGAAATCAAGAAACTGGAGCCAAATCCAGAGAGAAGCACTTGTCTGCAGACGCACAGAAAAGTTAGACAGATGGAAGGAGAGTGGGCCTCCATTGTGAGGTAACGTGCAAAGACATGAGGAAAGCAGTAAAAATCGTCTGGATTAATATTTACTTTCATTTCATGACAAAACATTTGGCTCATCATAAACAGAAACTCTTCTCTGTCCTGTGCCCCAAAATCTAAGCACGTTCAGAGTTTTCTTCTCATCTCTTGAAAAAATGGCGATGACAACAAGCTATGTTTACGTGGACATAAGTAATCAGATTAAACAGCCATTCAGAATAAAAATGCGTCATGTAAACGCCCCATTCGGATTATTCTGAGCTGATTCAGCTCGATCCGAATGAAATTGTAATCTGATTATTCTGGAGATGATAAACAACCTCATCAGCACAATAGTTTTATTTTGATTTTATTTAACTAAATAGTAAGCTTCATCTTTTTTCAACACATATTTAATAATTGAAACAGAGTAATTGCTTCATATTTTGGTATCTGAACAAAATTTCCACCATCAAACAAATGAATCACCATTTTTACCACTAGAATTATTCATCCATAACTCATTTGTTGATTTGTTTTCATGTAAATAAATTCCCTTAAACCTAAATTACGTGGATTTCA